ACGGACGGACGGCCGGACGGACGCCGGACGAAAAGCGATGACAAAAGCTCACCATGTCACTTTGTGACAGGTGAGCTAAAAATGAATGTAATATTACTAAATTACAATATTATACTCTTTTGTTACTGTTTGTATATTTGTTACAATTTTAATAATAAAAAAACAGACTTTGATATTTTTATCATCTTATGTTACTGACTACAGTAGTGACACAAACAGAACACAGTACAGTTATGTCACATAACATTTACAAGTCTTGTAAGTCTTGTTTGTATTCAATGGAACTACTTTCCTTACCAGGTAGGCATCAGTGAAAGCATTTTTTTATATTAAATATCTTTCCCCTCCTTTTAAAATTATGGACATTGCATAAGATAAGTATAATTATGCAAAAATGGTTTACAAAACATTCGGAAAAAAATTACAATAGTACTAAAACTGAATATAACATGACCTGTGCGTAGGAATAATTTGGTAAGGTATCTGTAATGAGCGCATTTTTGCGCGGAGCTTCTCAATTGCTGCATTGCATTTGTACTTGTAATTGCTGTTTTACATTTATTTACATTTATATCTTTATCACCATATATACCATATGCGTTTGAACGGATAATGTATGTGGCCATTGTGACAGTGTTACGGAATGCATACTTTAATGTTTGGCAAGACATAAAAATGATCTAATATATTATGCTAAAAGAAGTTTTAACTAATGTTTGAGATCATTTATAATAGCAAAAAATGAAATTGAATGAAATAAATAACAAAACATAAATTGCCAATTATTTTGATACTTTAGGATAAATGTCCAGAGTAAATATAAATGTTGACTTAATTAATATAATCAATTTTCCAGACTAGGTCTGAGATGAGCACCGAGCTTCATCAAATAGGGTTTACATTTCTCAAGGCTTCCTACCGCGTATTGTCATGTCGATTATATCTGTGTCTTCAGCTACACAGTAGCAGCAACATAATAAACAAAGTCGCAACATTTAGAAAACAAGCAGCCAAATAATACCTTAAACCCCTGCTTAATCGGCTATCCTTACGCGACACATGTGATCCCTAATCGTTCTTTTTTGTATTTACACTGTTCATTTGTTAATCTGTTTTCACTCATATTGAACACAATCTGTTGGTCATCAAGGCGACCAGTACGCGAATCGGCTTTTTGGATAACTGACTGCTCATTAGACTCGAAACGTAGAATGGTTTTCACCGAAAAATGTGTGCGAAGTAGTTACTTTGAATTCAATAAGCAGGCAAACAAAAGGTTCTTTAAAGCCATTGTGTTATTTATTACCACAAACCTATTTTTCCAAATATGCTAGCCTTTATTTTTATCCAAGTAAAACTTTGATATTCATTAGCAATTCTCAGATCAATATAATGTGTCAACATATTAAAAAATAAGAAAATTCTATAAATATCTGCTTTCACTACATTACCTACAATTAGAAATAACTATAACAAGATATGTTTGTAAAACATGTATGCCCCCTATCGGCAGCCAATTAGTCATGTGGTCAGGTAAATTTAACTGACGTATGACCTAAAGACCAACAATTCAATAGAGGTTATCTACTAGTCATGGCTAGTTGCTAGGTAATTGTGCCCGTAAAGGTTACTTGCAGCAATTTTATGACAAAGTTATCACAAATCTTACCAAATAATATATGCATAAATATTATGAATCATGTGGGCCTCCTAAATGACAGCCAATTTGTTATATTACATGAAACGTTGAAATGTGTATGCCAAAAGCATTTTTAGTTTAGCAAAACATATCGACCAAGGCAAGAGTTGTTGAGTTAATAGTCACAATCGTCTTTACATAAAAGGTCAATGTGACTTTGACCTTTGACAATTTAACCAATAGGGGTTATCTTCTGGCCAAGATCAATAGACCCGTGAATTTCGAAGGTAAATCGTCCATGAGTTGTTTATCGGAAACAGATATTACCTACAATGTCAATGTGATCTTGACATCTGACCCCTTGACCCCCAAAATTCATTGAGGTTATTTTCTGATCAAAGGCAATGAATATGTGAAGTTTGAAGGTCAATGTTCCATGGGTGATCCAGTTATTGATAGGAAACCGTACAAAGTCAATGTGACCCTAACCTTTGACCCCTTGACCCAAAGTAAATAGGGGTCATCTACTTGCTAAGATCAATGCACTTCTGAAGTTTGAGGGCCAAAGGCTCATGTCTTGTCAAGTTACTGATCGGAAACAGTTTTTACCTACAAGGTCAATATGACCTTGACCTTTGACCCCTTGACCCTAAACTCAGTAGGTGTTATCTACTGGTCATGAACAATCATATTATTACCTACAACTCGGTTTGACTTTGACCTTTGACCCTTGACCTTAAAATCAACAGCGATCATCTACTAGTCATTAACAATAATCATACAAGGTTTGAAGTTCCTGTGCCTAAGCAGCCTTCATTAGTTATTGATCCAAAACCAATTTGGCTACAGAGAGACGGACCGACAGACAGATAAATGAAAAGCTTAACATTTCTTTGAACGGAGTGGTGGCTAAATATCTGCTTTCAATCAATTGTTCCCTAAGCATTCATTAATGAGTATTAGAAGTATATGAAACGAGTTAGTTACGGGGTATAACAGTGGCTTGAGCGACATCGAGGGATGTTTCTGCGAAAAAAACTGTCAAGGTCGGTAGGCCGAGAGGATTATTTTTGCAGAAACATCCCCAGATAACAATTTCCTCTGAGTAGGTGTGTGCTGCAAAAGAAACGTCACCCTGCCTTAAACAATTTTGGAGTTATTACCCTTTGTTCATTTTTACACTGGGAACTCCCAGTGTCCGGGACGTAACTCTGAAAACTACAAGAGATATCAACAAGACGTTGTTTTCTCTGTGTCCAAATCTGTTTGGGTAGCATTACCCGATTCAACCGACTTTTTTGTTTTTGTTTGTTATTCTGAATGTGCTACCCCATGGCCCTTTTGACCCTATGCCCGCTTTGAACCACCAGAAAAAAAACGTAAACAGATATATAGCAGGTTTAAAAAAAGTCAACTGTTATATATCAATTGAGTTTCTCCTATATGAATCAAGTGAATACAAATGTAAAAGCCTAGCGATACATGCTTTTTTTCAATAATTGCTCGCATTCCTTTACTTACCGGTTTATTGTTTTCTTATACATCAAATTTATTTCTTGTTATAATTGTTATAAGTACAACAATCCGTTATCTAATACTTTTCAACATAGTTTACTTCCATTCTCTACAAACCTTCTGACTTATCTTCAGAGAATTCTGTCCTGGTAGATAAGGTCGTTCCTGATACATTTTGTTTTGCCTTATAACGACTACTTTCATCTAAAGTTGAATATGGAAAATAATCATCCATTGTTGTTTTAAGGTCTGGAACATTATAATGATATCATCTTAGTATTAAACAACGAAATATGCAAGTCCATTTAACACAAATGACGTAATGTTAGTTAAAGCTATGTCGATGTGTTGTTTCTAGTTTTATTTTTATCCATTGATTTCATGACTAAGACTAGTTTTAAAATAAAACATTATTAAAGAATCTATAAAATATTGATTCCTATTCCCGTGAAGATTTATCCAAAGCGATAGAAAATTGGAAGAAGAATGAAATGTAAAATTAAGATTTAATATGATAAGTTATTTTGAAAGGTTAAATGTGCTGTGTAAATATTAGGCCATATAAATTGAACTACGAATCAATTCCCGACAAAAAATGTTGTAATGAAAGCTCTTTACAACTGTTTTCTGTATATTAATAGGTGCATTGTTTCGTAAAGAATTATGAGCATATTAATGAATACGAAAATTAAACATGACTGTATCATTTCGAGTAGTAGGCTATTTCATACCTGATGTTTTATGTTCAAGCTTTTCACCTCTTTCAAATCCACTCTCACTAAAATGATAAAAATAAGAACCAAATTGAGCTGACACGATAATGTCAAAGTGGCCAAAGACCTATTTATATGTGCTTTTTAAAACTATTTTTAATATATTAAAGTTTAAATAACTTTATCCTAAACCAATAAAATAATCAATTATTTTGGTATAAATGTATCTTTTTGTGCGGCATTCAATCAACATTACACATGATTATACATGTATAGTGGATATCATATTATTTCGTATTAAACTCGATCTGCTAAGTAAATGGTCAAGTAATACCTGTATTACTGCTTTCAGCGTTTATGTTCTCTTCTAGTGTGCTTATTTACTGTTTTCGTAAGATGCTTTTATACTACATCATACTACATATTATACTACATATTTGGATATGATACATTGAAATTGTTATGAAAATGTATCAACGAAGTCCTACAATAATGCTTTCGCATGTTTCCCCAATGTAAAACAGGTATCAATTTAGCAAATATACTAAACTACTTATCATAACAAATCTTTATGTCGACAAAAGAGCAATTCAAAGTGTTTCTTATTGTTGTCCGACTCCTCTAAACACCACCAATCAAATCCATACTATAACCTACAAAATATATAATCTTTGGTGCTTATTTTCTTCAATAAAATTAAATGCTGATACTCACCCTCCAAAATATATTGCATCATCTATCTGTTTTACCCATTCCTAGAAATAAAAATATGAATAATAGTAGTCCGAATAATTAGTTAGATGTGCATAGCAAGTATGGTATGTGTTAGCAAATCTAAAGATTGATATATACATAATTGAAACATGAGCCCTTGATATTTCTCAAAATAATAAGAAAGTCCAAGGGGCATTACACTTTCAATAATTGCTCGATCGTATTCAAAACAGAATTTTATCTAGACATTCTGATGATAAATCTGCTCAATAAATATCATTTCAGAATGTGTAACCTTTGAAAATGAACGTTAACTGTTGGTGGACCGATAGAAAGACCGACCAACCAACATGTAACAGTAAAGAAATATGCTCTTCCTTTTCCAAAGGTGTGTGTGGATAGAATGTATATAAATATATATACCGTTCTTTTGAATGAGGATTTACAGAAACACACAATTGGCGGTCTGTCAGGCTCTCTGAACGTTAGCATAAATGTATTATTGTTTTCGTGTGCAGTGACTCTGAAAGCAAACAATACATTTATTTTGAAAATATTTGTTTTTTTTGTATATCGATAAAGAATATAAGAAAAAATGTACAACTTTACTACTAGTTTTTGAAAAAAGAACATCATCTGACTGGATGAATTTGAGAGTGTATTTCTTATAAATATTATAATCGGAGAAACTTAACCTTTATTATAAATTCATTAATGTAAAACAAAATTAATTCAAAAGTTGTTTTTAATTTCTAACATGTGCTATTTAGTATCTAATTTGTATATTCTTTACTTTCCGTTTATCGTGCTAAGAAATTGAGCATAAAGAATATCAAATTAAAAAAATGAATACAAACCTTTTAAAATCTTTAAAAGGGTAGGACTGCTTTAAGTTCTTTGCATTCTGTTTTGAATACACATTTAAACACCTTTCTGATATGATAACAAATCGACGTTTCCCTGTAAAATATATTTTTTGTAATTAATCCCTAACAATGGTATGTGTATGCGCCTGCTTACGTTCCTCTTATGGTGAGTGAAATAGAGTGTTGTAAGTGCAAATACACATTCGTTAAAAATATATTTGATTTTCCAAGCTGTATGAATTATCGTATATATAAAAACATAAATGTTGACTTACAACATATGTAACAAATTAGCTCATGATAGGCCTTATATTCTTTTTCTGGCAATAAAACCTCTCAGTGGAGAGGTTTAATAAAAATTTTGATAACCCTTTTAATTAAAAATGAGGATTAACTGGTAAAGCTTATGCCTGCATCTATCTGCATAATGTATAATGTACATTAAAAAGTCATTGGTAGCAATGGAATATACATTGTTGATATGGAAGTCAATGGTTTGTATCGAAGTTAATGATTGTTCAATTGATCAGTTACAAGAAGGTACTGTATTTAAAGACATTTACTGGTTGTAAATGGCACTGGTTGCGCAGCCTAGGGAATTCAATGGTTGCTATGAAAGCCAGTGGTTGCAAAGAAATTCATTGGTTGCAATGGAACTTAATAGTTGACACGATATGTTAAAAGTTTTATGAAAATCACTGACTACCATGGAAAGCAAATGGTTGCTATGTTAGTCATTGATTGCTTTGAATGTCAATAATTGCTCTGCTTTAAAAGTCCATTCTGTAAATTCATTTATTAATAAGTAAAACCCATAGACCAGTGTTTGGGCAAATTTTGACCTAAGGACAAACAATTAAATAGCATTGGTAGCGCTTTACTAGACGAACTTTCATTCGATGTATCATAGGTTTGGCCAGAAGAAGATTTTAAATACTGTTTTATTACTTATTAAAGAAAATACATGACTACAAATTTGACCAAAAGCCAATAAATTTGAATAAAAATGGTATCGTCTAACAAGACGATGCTTCATCTAGTAGCTACACGGGGGTGGAACCCCGTACGTATCTCAAAAATGAGCATTGGTAAAAATTATATGAGAATTTCCGCTGCAAAAAGGTCAATCGCAAAGTAAGTGTTTATCTTGTAAACATTTTTATAAAATTCAATCCTTTTTTTTTTAGAAAATCGAAATGTGATTCTACCCTCCTGACTCTCCTCTATATTACCCATTTTTGTTTTGGATTTTATGCAGTCTTCATCGAGATTTTCCTTCCGTCGTGGGATCAACGCTAACCCTGCGATTGACCTATTTTTACAGTCACATCTGGTGTTATGCTTCACATCTGGTGCAGCGGAAATTCACATATAATTTTAACCGATGCTCATTTTTGAGATACATATGGGGTTCCAACCCTGTGATCTAAGTTCCAGACATTGCGATTATACAGGAGACTGTTAAGATATTTAATGTGATTATACAGAAGACTGTTAAATTTTTTAAATATATAGATGTATAAGTAACTTTTAAAACCCTTGCCCCCTATATTGGGCTTGATATTACCACAAGGCAATGATTTGAACAAACTTACAAGCGGGCCACTACATAGTGTTTCTTTTAAAATATCTGTGATTTCGAAGAAGATATATACAAGTGATTTATATATCCTACATGATATAAAAACCATGACCCCAAGGTGTACAAGAAGATAAAACTTGAATGAATGATGTAAAAGTATATTTAAATAGGTCAAATGAAAGAAGCTGTACAGAAATACAATCTCCAGTTGATCAAATGCAACCAATTAAAACTTATTCACAAAATTTAAGATAGAAAACATATCCTTTAGAGATCGGATCAGTGTCCTAACAATAATGATCTGATTAAAGCAGGAAATCAAACATTAATTAGACAAAGTTCGTGGGGTTTTCCTAGTTTAGACAAAAAGAATCTGAAGATGTATACGTATTATTATTAGATGATACTGAATTAGTGAAAACACATTTAGCAGAACACACGACATGTTTTGGTGAAGAAAAACTAAAACAAAAAGGCCTTAGCATTACGATGTCATCAATGTTATACTTATTAGATTGTTTTATAACATTCATTCAACATATTGATCAGAACAAACTGTTCTGGTTTTTTTTTCATTCGCTTTAAACAAGCAAATCTTAAACTTCAATTTTTTTAGAATCTGAAGTTCAATATCTAAGACATAGCGTATGTGACAAACGTATTATACTTGATCCAAATAATATTGCAATAGTCCTTGAATGAGAGACACCTTAAACTGCAAAGAAACGAGACATTTTTTTGGCCCGTGACCCTATTGAAGGAAATATGTTATTATAAGAACTTAAATTGAATTGCAAAGCCGCTAATGGACTTAATGCAATTAATGCAAACCGATAGTTGTACACAGGGCATATTTTAAGTATTGGCTTCAACTCAATGTAACCATAATTTAGAGGTGAAAATGTATTTATTATATATACAAATAGAAAGCTCCTAAGTCTCATAAGTCTATTTTTGCACGATTTGCCCTTGACAATCACATACACTTTTAGCAGGAATTTCAATAAATATGGTTCTGTATACTTGTTGTAGATATGGTTGAGTTACATTGTGAATTGAGAGCACAATTCAAAGGTTATTTGGTAAATGTGCGTCAAAAATAAAAGGGATCTACATGAAGTTTTTGGAGAATATGCCCTTTTATATCATAAGATTGTCATATGAGTGTCAATATTTAAGACACGTAGAACAAATGGTAAGGATGATTTACACACCGGACGGCAAAATTCCGCTACCTCTGAAAGTTACAGTTGAACTGTCAAAGACATAAATGATGAAAAAGCAAGATATATAACGTGGATGAGAAAAGTAATATATCGGGCCTTTATACGTCATATGCGTTTTCCATCGTGAAAGAAAAGTTAAAATTCAGAAATAGTGCGATCGTTGGATCTCGCATTCGTTGACCGAAGGTTGTTGCTCTAGTCGTAGCTGTAGCGTTAAAAGAGTAATGTACATTCAATCACTGACGGGATAGTGGCCCGTGTCGCTGTGTCTGGGCTGTGTCAATATATATTCTATCGTGATGATGTTTTCAGTGCTGTACGAGGTATGTTCAAAAAGTTCGTGGATTTTTGCTGTCCTTTTTTTAATTGGTTTATAAAATTACCCTTAGTGGATATGAATCAAAAGAGTGTCTTTATTTCTAAAAATAAAATTTACTTTTATTGTTAACTTTTAATTTCTTTACGAGTTATGTGCAATTTAATAACCATGGCAACGCAACATCGGCGCACGCCGAAATTTTCATATAACGTTTAAATATAAACAAATGTTGAAACAAACTGAATGATTGTTTGATGAAGTAAAATACAAGTAATCATCTATTAATATTTAAATAACATGAATCTGAAATTTGACGACGTTTTGACGTTGAATAGCTGAACAAACAGGTTTTGAGCAGCAGTAGACAAGCGGGTTTGTTGGGAAGTATTAAAAACTAGAACTAGAACTCTTTCGGAAATTGTTACTAATAAATGTGTGATACTCCTTTATATTTTAATGAGGTGATTAAATTAACGAAGAACAATGAAATGGCGAGCAAGTCTCTTGGTTTCAGGTTACGCAAGCAATTCAAATACGGTAAATACGTGCTCACAGACAGAAAGGGCGACGGATAATTTTAAGCGGCAAATTGTTGGGACGTTTGTAACGTCAGTTGCTAAAGATCTACAATGTCCAGACATTATGAAAGTTTTGCGAGATGTCTGACATGTTTAATTTCTGCATCGGGTCTATGCATTCAATTCTGACAAAACAATTTAATTTAATTAAAAAATATTTTATTTCATTCATCAGGATATATGCGTAGTTAATAACTACATAACAAAGAACCCAATATCCAGGTACGCAGTATCTAATTACTCCGTGAAAATGCACATGTGCATCGGTCAGCCCTGATTCAAGCTTATAAGAGGTGCAGACAGTTACGGTTTTTATTTATCCTTCTGATATTCTTGACCTCTCGCCTTGTGACTTTTCATCAAATCCATACATCAAATCTTGACTTCGCGGTCGCCTGTTCGAAACCCGTAGTGTCGTCTGAAGCGCACTTTACCAATGTATAAACAGTATACCAAAATAAGTCTTCCAAAATGCTTCTTTGATGCATTTTCTGATTCTGGATAAAAAAAACATAAAAAAACGCGCCACCGTTGTCATTGAAATATTCCCCTCGTATTATATTATTTAATTGTTGCCAAATAGACTTTAAAACATTGGTACTTCCGACTAGTTCATATACATTTATCATTTAATTTACCTACATTGTATGCACAAATGCTCCTGGTATTGTAATAAGAAAAGGAAAACAAGATGGAATGAAAAAGGCTGGTCCATATTCCAGCAAGTCATCGTAAAATTCAGACATAACTAATATGAAACAAAAAGAATAATTTCTAGCGACTCGATTCTCTGTGAAATACTTTAGATACTATTTTTAGGGAGACAATTCCATACCGGATCTGTCTATTTAGTTTTAAAGTATATTTTAGTTTCAAATTACCAACGTGTAGAATTGCTCGCTGGTTAGATGAATTGTCTGAGTATGACTTTACAACGCAAAAACACAAAGGCATATAACATTTTAAAAACGATGAGAATGTGTACGGCATTTCACATTGTCCTAATAAACCTGAAAGTAACGATATAGACACAGACAACGTTTTCACAAACGCGTTAAACAAGCAGAGCCTGGAAATATCAGAAATACAAGCAAAACATCACTAGCACTAATAATACATACAATGTCAAGTACAAGAAAACAAAATGTTAGCAATGTTAAGGATCATGTACACTAATGAATCGTTTAACATGGCTTATGTCGGATTATATTGAAATCAATTGTAACCAATCTCAGTTTCTCTCGGCATTTTTCGCGTACACATTTTTAGTATTTCTGTAAGTGGGTGTTTTCACTATGACGTCATTATTTGATTAAATTTCAATATGTCGTGTTATTTAAGCCGTGTGGTGGCTGCAAAAAAGGCTCCCCGTACATTTAATCAAAGATG